ACTAATTTTACAGCGATAACTGGTATGTCCACTCCCTGAAAAAATATTTCAACTCTATACTGGAAAAAACTAGCCAAAAAAAAAGTAAAAAACCTGTAAGTTCGGCCGGGCTTACGAAAATAAAATCCGTTAAAAATTCTCTTAATTCTTAAAAATACCGAATGTAGCCGTTTTTTTATGGCCTATACAAAGTCGTGAATAATGAAGCTAAAATCATCAATAAATATATATAGGGAGGTACCATTATATGGTTGCTATACTAAAACATTGACCTGCGCAGACAACTTTCTGTCATAGGCTGTAGTATCTATTACTTATTATTAATGTCGAAAATACCGAATATCGGGGGGTTACGTTATATGGCGGCTAAACGAAGACGTGGACCTGCACAGACAATTTTCTGTCTTTGTCTGTAATATCCATTACGAGCTTCAAATACTAAATTTAAAACAATTCCGGTGAATAATATCGCTAAAATGACCAAAATACCGAATATCGGGAGGTTACGTTATATGGGGGCTATACGAAGACGTCAACCTGCACAGACAATTTTCTGTATTTTGCTGGAGTATCCATTACGAACTTCAAATACCAACTTTGAAACAATTCCGGTGAATAATGTCGCTAAAATCATCAAAATACAAAATATCGGGAGGTACCGTTTATACGATGACGTGGACCTGAACTCACAATTTTTTGTCTTTAGCTGTAGTATCCATTACGAACTTCAAATACAAAATTTGAAAACAATCCGATAAATAATGTCGCTAAGATCATCAAAATAATGGGTATCGGGAGGTACCGTTGTATGGGGACTATACGAAGGCGTGGACCTGTACAGACAATTCTTTTCTTAGGCTTCAAATGCCAAATTTGACATTTCTTGAACATTTCCGGTGAATAATGTCGCTAAAATCATCAAAATAACGAACTTCGGGAAGTACCGTTATATGGGGGCTATACGAAGACATGGACTTGAACAGACAATTTTCTCTTACGAACTTCCATTCCATTAAAAACTTCAATTACCAATTTGTAGTATTTGCGGTAAATAATATCGCTTAAATCACCAAAATACCGAAAATAGGGAGGTACCATTATATAGTGGCTATACGTGGACCTACATGGCCCATTTTCAATACCAAAAGTCCTGCAAAAATAATATAGATTTAAGTAAAATTAAAAATAATTCAATGACCCAATCATTGTAAATTATAAATTATTTTCTCAATGATTTCCTGTTGTTCTCCTCCGTCCCCTGCTAGCACATCATGTGACGAACAACAATTTAGATAGAGAATCATATTCAATCTCAATCGAGCTGTTATTTTGTAAGAAATAAGTACAATAGCACATAAAGCAAAGGAATTCATCTACTTCCACATATCAAGCAAAAAAATCACATTCTATGTTCTTTCTATACATATATCGAAATTCCATTCAATTTCATATGAATTCCAACTCATTAATTCTTGCTGAAATACGTGACATTGTTTTCGTTTGACTTGAACATCTTTAGTCAAATGAATGGAATTTTTCGTCCGAAAATATTTAATGGGAATAATTTTTATTTTTCTTTTGATTTGATTAATTAAGATTGTATGGAAATAATACAAAATAAATATTTAATTAACTTTCTCACAATAAAAATATTTTGATAAATAACATACTTTTTTATTTTATTAGAAAAATGCTTGGTGACTATAATAAAAATTGTGGCGTTTACGTTGGTTGAATTAACTTAAATTTTGAATCAATCATACGCACCGTAGTTCAGTTTTAGAATAAATGGAGAAATGCTGGGGAAAAACTGAACATAATCCCTTTAGACTTTAATATTTAATACAGTTTTGAATACCGATCGTTATGATGGGCATATTGAGTTTGTTATTCCACGTGTAACTTATCGAAACAAACATTTAATATCTTTTTCAGTGTTAAATTCTTACCATCTGTGGTTTGCACGGCTCAAATTTTGGTCAAAAAAAGTTTGGAATTTTTATGGTTTCGCATAGCCCCATATAAGGGTACTTCTCAATATTCGTTATTTTGATTATTGTAGATACATATCCCAAATACACAACAAAATGGTTTGAAATATAATATTCAAAGTTACAAGTACATAAAAATTTCTCAAAGAGGAAGAGATCATAATAACGGTACCTTTTGATATTCGGTATTTTCGTGATGTAAACCATATTTGCCACATGAATTATTTTGAAAAAATATGATATTTAATACTTGTAATACATACTAACCCCTGTAACAGCAAATAATCTTGTTAGGTTTTGGTACAGTACCATGAAACGGTACAAGCACATTCTACGATATGTTGAAGACTCGTTCGAATTTTGAATCCCGACAGTATTATTTTAAAGGCTTTCTTTAAATTTGTGGTAGAGGGTGCTCAAAAAACCTCCGAACTAAAATTTTTTACTTGTTTAAATAAAAATAAAACATATAATAACACTATTCTTTAAAAGACAATATAGAATTTTCATAAAAGAACTATAATTCTTCTTATAGAAAGCCAGATGTTCTTCCTGCGGAATGCAAGGTAAACTAGGCAAGAGATCTCCGTAAAACAATAGAAGGTCTTTCCGTAAAAGAACAGAAGATCTCGTCATAGAAGTGCATAGAATCTTCCTATAGAGGACCATAGGATCTTCTCATAGAATACTATAGGATCTTCTCATAGAAGACCATAGGATCTTCTCATAGAAGACCATAGGATCTTCTCATAGAAGACCATAGGATCCTCTTATATAAGACCGTAGGATCCTCTTATATAAGACCATAGGGTTCTCTCATAGAAGACCATAGGGTCTTCTTATAGAAGACAAAGGGTCTTCGAAGGTTTTCATATAATAGACCAGAAGGTATTTTTATGCATTAATATTCCTTTAAAAATCCACGTATCCAGAATGAGATAAAAAACTGCAACAAAGTCAAACGCTATAATTTTTACATTTTTTAACTTTTATTGAATGAAAGCAAAACATGTCGGAAATAGCATCAAATTTTAAAATAAGTTTAGATTTGTTCGAATTGGTCACCTTTGGCACGAATTATGGTCTTCAAATGGTTAATGAAACCATCACACGCTGCCCGAATGTTGCTCTGCGGTATTTTGACCCATTCCCGGCGAAGCGCTTGCTTGAGTGGATCGACACTTTGTCATTTTTAAGTGCCAACCTTGCAAAATGCTCCAGACACAATGGTCCAACGAATTGTTATTCGGAGATTTTGGTGGCCACTGAGTGCTGGAAATAATGCGAGGAACCTCATTTTGTAACCATTCTTGGGTGGCGCTGAGTGCTATTTTTCCGTCCACTTCCTTGACGTCGGGCTACGCTACCAGTATCACGGTAACGAGCGATGGTACGAGACACAAAAGATTTATTCACATTTGAATGCTGGAGTACTCTAACGATAACTAGGCAAGAGATTTCCGTATAAAATAGAAGGTCTTTTCATAAAAGACCACAAGGTCTTATCATAGAAGACCATAGATAATTCTCATAGAAGACCGTAAAGTCTTCTCATGGAATACTATAGGATCTTCTCATAGAAGACCATAGGATCTTCTCATGGAAGACCATAGGATCTTCTCATGGAAGACCATAGGGTGCTCTCATACAAGACCATAGGGTCCTCTCATAGAAGACCATAGGATCTTCTCATAGAAGACAAGAGGGTCTTCAAAGGTTTTCATATATAAGACCAGAAGGTCCTTTTGTGCGTAAATATTCCTTTAAAAATCCCTAAAAATTGCTTGATAAAAAATCAACATTTATGGGTCTTAAAGTCCCTCAGAAATCGCTCCACATAAAAAAAATCTTTTAGAAATCCATTTTTGTATGTCTTGAAGTCGCACAGGAATGGATCCATCAAAATTCCTTTAAAAATCCATATTTATTTCGAAAAACAAATTTAATAGTCCACGAATTTAGCTCAGAAAATTACTATAAAACTGTTTTTTTTAGAAATCCACGCTAATAGCTCTAGGAGTCTTTCAGAAAAAATATCAAGTATTCCTTAGGAAAATTCCTTCAAATTATCCTTAGAAAAACGAAAATTGGGATCTTCTCGGTGAAAGATTATGAGCCTGGAAGTCAGTTACAAATCGCTATCAAAGAGTTTACGTATTGCCATAAAGTATACATCATGCCAATTGAGTTTCCAATTCCAACGTATCATGGCGTATACGTGCTATCATAAAGTATACGCCTGTTTCAATTTATTAATATTACATGTGGCCCTGTCTCTGAAATATCTTAAGTGACGATGTATTTTTTGTATGAAAATATAAAATTGTAGTTATAAATTAAATAGACGTTTTTTGTGTATTGTATATATTAATTAGTTTTTCCCTAAAATATTAATATATTTGAATAAAGTATATATTTAATTCCGAAAAATATTTATTTATAAATTTAAGCAATAAAAAAAATTATATCAATATATTAATAGATTTGTGTGCACGATAAATACATATAAGTAAATAAAATATATCAATAATTTTATTTTAGTATATTGTGTGTTAAAATATTTGTAATTTATGAACAGTGTCTAAATAGAATTAAGAACATTTTCTATAAATAGCATGATTGTCCATGACCCTAAGAATGTTGTCCTAAATTTTTTAAAGTCCAGAATGTGCATGTCATATTTTTTTTTTCATTGACCTCTTGATGTTGTTTATTGTCCATGTAAAAAAAAATACAATACATATCTATTTCAAACATTTCAATGACAGTTTGGTAAATCCCAATTTCTTATGTGTTCTTGTTTCTTCCCCCCATTATACATGATATTGTTCTTGTTTTGTTCTTCTTTTGTATTTGAATTTGAAAAAAAAAACTATATACCATATTTGCAAATCAAAAACCCTGTAGTCTATCACAACCACCAACACAACCACCTGTAGCACCACAACCAATCCAATTGGCAATGATAGGCTTCAGGCAAACGGAACAAACAATTCAACATCCCATTCAATGTCGACAACATGTAGTGAAGATGACTTAGAGGAGATTGACGAGGAGCCCAGTCACACAGAAGATGATTGTGATGATCACCATCAAATTGGACAGCATCAGCGGCACGATAATCTTCTAAATGATAGCTATGATGATAAGAGTGATGAAGTCTCCTATGATGAATATGATGATGGCACTTCAACTACCAACAATAATAATAATTACAATAACAACAACAGTCCCGAAATTCAAACACCCGAAAGTGTCGACAGAGATCAGGTAGAGGAATTTGGCCACTCATCGATGTCTGTGGCCCATCGTATTAATTTAGATAATTGCAATGCCAACAACAACACTCAATGGCAATATCCATCGCCAACAAATGCAAATGCACAGCAACCCGACTTATTATCCCCCAATGCTAATACTGTCATGCATCATCATAATAGTAGCATGAATCCGCCCCATACCATAAGCACCAATATTGTCCCAATCACAACCAACAATCCTGCTGCCACATCCACGTCCGTGAATAGCAATAATATAGTTATTACGACACAGCCCTTATCATCATTTACCGGCACCACAAATTGCAATAATACAGCCACACTTCCGACCAATGCCACAGATCCGGCCACCACCAACACACAGCATCAGCATAATAATTCCCCCATACAGGACTTGCAGAAAATTGAAAATTTACATAGCAATTCCAATTCAAATTCCAATTTAAATTCTCCCCAAATCCCTAAAACCAGCAATGCATTTAGTAGTTCCCCCAGTGGCGGCAAAGTGGCATCCAGTGTCGGAGTGAATGTGTTGTCGACAGTATCGTCAATGCCATCATCAGCATCATCTTCAATATCATCATCGTCATCATCGAATGCGGCGTCCGGAACAACAACAGCATCCAATGATATGCAAACCCCACAAAATCAGTTACAAAATCAAAATCAAAATATTTCCTCCAGTTTAGAGATAATCCTTTCACCAATTATACTAAGTAGTCGACGGTAAGTTTTGGTTTTTAATTTGGTATTTTTGGTTCAATACAGTCAGTGTTAATTCGTTACTCCCCTTCCAAAAACAAGAAAAAAATACTTTTGTATACGTTTTTGTATAAGTGTTTTGTATTTTGTTTGTATTTATTTTAACATTAAATGAAAGACGTTGTTGAGTCTTTCATATATTTTCCATTATGATCTTTAAAAAAAAGTATTTGCGTGAATCGGATCCGTTTTCATTACTATTTTTAAGTGACACTTAAATTGTGAATTGACATTTTTTTGTTTATGTTCAACAATTTGCTATATAAGAGCCCTTCATTGAGTTCAAGGCCCCAAGTTTAAGGGCCGTAACAGCAAAAGTTGATAAGATAAGAAAAAACCGCAAGGCATTTTTAAATTGATTTGACTTATAGTTGTTTTAAGAAATTACTTGTCTTTGTACGAGGTTTTAATTAAATGATATGATATATCTCCAAATAGAATAAAAGAAAATAAATTATTTATTTTGAATATTTACTTGACATTTTGAAAACACATACAATAATAAACCATTAAGGTAATGTCAAAAGTCGGCAGGGCCCACTATATGATACCCTACACTACTATGCATATTTAGTAGAGCTCCCGTAACAAAATAATTTATTTAAAGTAGATCACATTTGGCTTTAGACCAGCTATAATTTGGTTTCAGAGGAAACTAATATATGGGAGGCAAATCCAATTCTGAATCGATAATCACTAAATTTATTATTTTTATATTTTCCACCAAATAGCATTGCTATAGAGTACATTTATTCACTTATGTTATAAAAATATATATCGGAACCGAGTTAGGCCAAATGGAAACGTAAGTCCCGATGTTCACTCCATTTGGGCTGATATTAGCCATTATTTGCACAATGAACTTGAAATCCGTTTAAGAATATATATAGGACCTATATCCAAATCTTTGCCGATTTCGAAATTTGGCAAAGTTATTCCCAAGTATCATTGTTGTCGAAAGCATATTACGAGTGCGAGAGACTTTAAACCTGAATCAGATAAAACATATATATGGGAGTTATAACCATACCTGAACCGATATTTCCAAATTTGATGTACTTCTAAACTGAATTCGGTCGGATATACCAAAATTCTGGTCATTGCGACCGATGTTGGTCGTTTGGTGCTCAATTAACCCGAAATCTGTTGAAGATATTTATGGGAGCTATATCCAAATCTGAACCGATCTTTATAAAATTTTGTAGAGGTATTTCTGGGCTGTATCTGATATCAGGTACTAAATACCATTCTTGTGGAATGCATATTACGAATGATAGGGACTTAAAACCCCAAATCGGATGAAATATACAGGGAGAGATAATAAAAATTGCAACAAAGTCAAACTTTATAATTTTTACATTTATTTTATTATTTTATTAAATGAAAGCAAAAAATGTCGAAAATAACATCAAATTTTAAAAAAAAAGTTTAGATTTGTTCGAATTGGTCATCTTTGGAATGAATTATGGCCTTCAAAGGGCCAATGAAACCGTAACACGCTTCTCTACGGCATTTTGGCCCATTCCGCTTGCTCGAGGTGATCGACACTTTGATATGTTTTAGTGTCAACCATACTTTCCAAAATACTCCTTGTTGTTGCTACCATAATATCAGTTAATCCTTTTTTGTAAAGTCTTCTATACTTGCGAAATCACCAATTGGTGTTGGCTTAGGTTTTGGCATTGCCTGTCCATAGGACGACGATGCTCTATCTGCTGAATCCGACGCCATAACTCATAATATCAGTTAATCCCTTTTTTTGTAAAGTCTTCTATACTTGCAAAATCACCAATGGGTATTGGCTTAGGTTTTGGCATTGCCTGTCCATAGGACGACGATGCTCTATCTGCTGGATCCGACGCCATAACTCATAAAATCTATATGGTGCTGACTCCTGTTGGAATGTCCAAGATCTGCGGCCAAACTGTTTGCGTTGCCAAGGCTTTAATACACCCTCCAGAATATTTTCGTAATAATATTCGTCATTTATTCTGATGCCATGGTCGATTAAAACGAGCGGAGAGCGACCATCGGCTGTTATGGCGGTCCACACCATCACAGTGGCCGACGCTTGAGTTCTGGTGGCCAACCGAAGGTGTACATTTTTAGCTGACCTCTTTGGCAAGTAAACACGATCATTTTGTTTGTTTACAAACTGATGGACAACGAATGTTTTCTCATCGGAGAAAACCAAATTCGGTAGTTCACCACTTTCGGGCAAACGAAGGAACTACTTAGCTCTTTTGAGTCTATTTTCTTCCTGTTGCAGAATAAATTCTTTCATTTTTTGGAATTTCAATGGCTTTACCCCGAGCTCATTTTTCAATATTTGCGATTGGAATATTGCGATATGTTCAGCTCACGAGCCATTTTTTTCGGTCACTGCGACGCGGGTTTCGATCAAGTCGCTTCTTTACTTTTTGAACCATTTCTGCTGATGTTGCTGTTTTATTCCGTACACCACATTGATGTCGGGCTACGCTAACAGTATCACGGTAATGAGCGGTGGTACGACACATAAAAGATTAATTCACATTCAAATGCTCGAGTGCTCTAACGATAGCCACTTGTAATTTTCCAGCCAAATATAAAGAGATCACACTATCACGCTTAAATTCCATGACCAATAACTTTTTTTCTGGAAAATTCTTACCAAAATGCTTTTGTACGCTTGTAAACAATATAACGAGCTGTCACTGGAATTTTAACAGCTGTCGGACGAGTGGCTTGGAAATGACAGCAGTTTGAAATTGGTTTTAGTTTTTTTATCTCACTCTGTAGGTTTATCTCGCTTCCTTCTCCATGTTACAAACAAATGAACAAAGACATAACAACCTTATATATAAATCTGCACAGTAAATTTTTATACCCTACAACACTATGTGTTGGGGGTATTATAAGTTTGATTGGGTCAGAATTTATGTAACACCTCGAAATATTGGTTTCCCATATAGGAAAGTATATATGGATCTTCCTAGCTCGCCGAGCTGAGTCGATCTAGCTATGTATGTCCGTCCGTGCGTCTGTCCATGTTAATTAATTAATTTTGCACGAAGATGGGGTTAGGGTCAGAATAGAAGCCTATTTCTTTTAGAGATGATCGCCAAATGTTTAGTGGTTGAAATGGACCAAATACTGAAAAAATGTCCGATTTTGCAGTAGTTGTAAAGGTCGCAATTATAGACCAATCGACGCGGAATTTCGCATGTAGCTAGAGTTTAGGGCGGGGAAGAAGCCTACCAATTTGGGTCATCGGATAATATTTAGCGGGTAAAATAGACGATATCTTTTGTGTTGAAAAAATTCAAAATTTTTCATTAAATCGCGAATATTTTAAATACCGGCCTTATATGTCGAGAACGGCTGAACTGATTTCGACAGTTCTCATTACTTCAGAATGGCATCTTGGCAGGAAAGAAAAAACCTCTAAAAAAATCGCATAAAAATGTCTCTCTAAAGATGAAAATATTGATTTTTTAAAATTTTCTCATATTTTTTCAATTTTGTCATATTTTTGGCATATTTTCATTTTGAATTAAACATTTGGTAATATTTCTACAACTAACAAAACTAAGTAGTTAGGATATCAGGATATCATATACAGATCGCATTTATGATCGCCATATATTTAGGGGTTGAAATGGACCAAAAAACTGCAAAATTGTCAGGAGGTCGTAATTATCGCCCGACCTCACGCACATTTGAATGGGGGTTACCGGACATTGCAAAAGCCAAGCAGTTTTGGATGGCCATCCAAAAATATTCAATGTGTGAAATAGTTTGCCAACTTTTGTAGACAAAATACGAAAATGTCCATTCCAGTGACTTTTTGGAGAATTCACAAATACAGGAAAGACGCACTTCTGACTATTTCGTTAACGCTGATTTCGTTGATGAATAAAGTCAAATGGCTGTATCTCATATAGATGCGTTTCTGTCAAAAACCAATAATAAATGTTAATCTTTTGCCACTTCTGAGAGATTATAGGTCTTTGGGAAATATTGGTTCCAGATCTAGGAAGACCATTTAAATTCGTTTAAGTTGCTATTATTCGAAAATTAGAGAACGAAACCTAATGGTTTTCTTTTATTATTTGTCACAATATCTTGTGGAATTCTTTCGAGTATCTCTCCTATATAAAGAGTATCGTTTATTATAGTGTTGTAGGGTATTCAACGGTCGGCCCGCTCGACTGTAGCCTTTGCTTACTTGTTTTAAACTTAATCTAAAAATTTGACCTGTAATTATTTGTTTTGTCTTCTGTACGAGTATACCGGAACCTATCGTTTTCAGTATTCGGAATTCTATGTAATTTGGTGTTCAAAGATCGTTTTAGGCACCTTACTTTCCATAAAAAATAAAGGCTAATATAAGTACACTGTGCGACTTTTACTGATTTAAGGTATCTCTTACGAGTATTGTTTACAATATAATATTTCGACTTTTAAGTGAATATTCAAAGTCATAGTGTTTGATACCTGCCACGCTATGATGCCACATCATATTCGGTATTTTGATGGTTTTAACCATCCAACATAATGAAAAACTGAACGGACGAACCTAACGCATTCTTTACCTATAACCCTCGAAACTGATATCGCTTTGTGTCTCTTTTTAAATTTCAAAAAAATGAATTTTTATTTATATACCCTTCAAATGCTTTTATTGCATATTTCAACGATAAATGTTAGTATTACATAGTAAAAAATCATTATTTAAAAAAAATCATGTTACACAAATGCTTTGTTAATGGCAAAATACTTTCAGCAATAGAATATCTACATTTATCAAATTAAATATAAAAATTTATTATTATGCCGCTTAAAAAGTGAAATCACTTACCTTGCTGTGATGCCAAACTTCCTCCCCTATCACTTTTTTCCCTAGGCCAGCCAGATATGCTCACAAAATGTTTTTTCTTCGTTCTTTCGATAATAATTCGCTAAATTTAATGCTTTAATGTGAGCACAAAACAATGTAACAGATAAAGAATCATCATTATAAATAATAGATGAAAAAGAATGCATGAATTGTTGCCAACATGAGGACATAAATGTCATCCTCTTAGGGGAAGCAGCACCACATCATTGTAGCATTGACAGTGCTTGTTGTGTGTCTGTCTTTGTGTTGGAGGAGGAAATTCAATAGCTTTCCCCGAATGTAGTAACGTACAACCTCAGGAGTATTGTTTATCTTACTTCGCCCGCTCCCCACTTTTTCGCCAACAAGGCATGGTAACAGGAATATTTCTGACGTTCAGTTGAAAAGTGAAATAAAATAATGTCTGTTGAAATATGCGCATTATTTTACATTTTGCAATGGCTTTCAAACAACACGTGTTGTTCGCAGGAGATTTTTTCTTATTGTTTTTGTGTTCGAATTCACCCTCCTCGCAAGTACGTAAGAAGGATGTTGTTAATTTGATAACTTTCAAAAATTGAACATAATTTCCTGACTTTTGCCCTTAAAAATTGTTGCATCATTAAATTTGTATTTTGTTGTTGTTTGGAGAGTTATAAAAGATAATAATTGTATAATCAAATAATATTGTTTCAATCTAAATATAAGGTTTTAAACTGTAGAATATATTTATGCGGTTTTGAAGATGCATTACACTGTTAGATAAATTTAATTTTTTTTAATAATTATAGAGAAAATCTGGCAGACTATAAAAGTCGATTTACAGAAAGAAGATACGTGTATCGGTATTTTGAAGATCTAGATAGAAAAGTAACCGAAATAGAGGCGTTAAGTTCACACCCTTTCCACACTTTTTTTACATTTAAAGATAAAGATTCCTCGGAATTCGTATATTTTAGCCCTATAATGTACTCAACAATATTGCAGATAAAAATACGAGAAATATTTTGGACCTCAAGCGAGTCAATAAAGGGTCCTTTTGGCCCTTCTCTTAAATATGGTTAAAAACTCCCTTTAAACAGCAAGTCAAACTAATCTATGAAATTATTAGTCATTAACTTCTACTATGGGCCCTAGAAGACGTCAAAAGTCTAAATCTTACCTAAACGACAGGAATTCACATATATTAAAAAGGTATTTTAGTATATATTAAAAGTCGTACTTTTTGTGAGTCTGTGCAAAAATCTCCTACTAAACTTCATTCTAGAACGATGCCTATAAAATCAAAAAAGTTCTTCACAAAATTTCACTAAAAGTCACCACACAAAAGAAATCTCTATATTGATTTTATACCAATAAAAATATTTGCATCACTTTTCCTTAACTTTTTTAACATTTAACAGTAAAATCTTTAGTACATAATTTTTTTAATATAATTTTCATAAAAACTGTTGTAAATAGATACATGGTTTGTGCTGAAATTTATAAAAAAAATTTGTGCAGAATATTTCTTCTTTTGACAACTTCCACCTCAAATGAAACTTAATGATACTTCCAGGCGCCTAGTCGAAAAAAGTCCGATGAAATTTTTTTTCAAAAAAAGTTGGGAATATTTTTTTTGGAAACAGTGGGTGGTGCAAATATTTTTGTGACCTACAGTGAAAATAGAGATTACTTTTCTTTGATAAGTTATAGCAACCTTTGATGACGAATATTTTGTCTTTGAATTCTAGAATAAAGTTTTGTTGGAGTTTTTTGCTCAACTCACATAAAGTACGGCTTCAAATCTAAAATGCCTTTTTAATATACACAGGGTGAAATGTAAAAACTGCAACCAACTTCAGACTGCTGTCAATTCGAATCACTTGTCCGACAGCTGTTAAAATTATTCCAGTGACAACTAATTATATTGTTTACAAGCATACAAAAGCATTTTGGCTCGAATTTTTCCAGAAAAAAGTTATTCGTGATGGAATTCAAGCGTGATAGTGTGATTTCTTTATATTTGACAGGAATACAACAAGTGGCTATCGTTAGAGCATTCCAGCATTTAAATGTGAATAAATCTTGTGTGTCTCGTACCATCGCTCATCACCGTGATACTGATAGCGTAGCCCGACGAAAGAAAGTGGACGGAAGAAAAGAGCAACATCAGCAGAAATGGAGGAGCGACTTAATCGAACCCCGCGTCGCAATGGCCGAAAAATGGCTCGTAAGCTGAACATATCGAAATATATTGAAAAATGAGTTCGGTTAGAAGCCATTGAAATTCCAAAAAGTGCAAGAACATACTCCGCAACAGAATGAAAATAGACTCAAAAGAGCTAAAGAGTAGCTTCGCTTGGCCGAAAGTGGTGAACTACCGAATTTGGTTTTCTCCGATGAGAAAACATTCGTTGTCCAGCAGTTTGTAAATAAAAAAAAATGATCGTGTTTACTTGCCAAAGAGGTCAGCTGAAAATGTGCACCTTCGGATGGCCACTCAAGGGCCGGCCATAGTGATGGTATGGGCCGCCATAACAGCCGATGGTCGCTCTCCGCTCGTATTGATTGACCGGGGCATCAGACTAAATGACGAATCAAAAGCGAAAATATTCTGGAGGGTGTATTAAAACCTTGGCACGCTAAGATTTTGGTCGCAGACCTTGGACATTCCAACATGATTCATCACCATTGCATTGAATGGTTACAAAATGAAGTTCCTCGCTTCATTTCCAGCGCACAATGGCCACCAAAATCTCCGGATACCAATCCGTTTGACTATTGCGTCTGGACTATTTTGGAAAGCAAGTTTGGCACTAAAAAAATACCAAAGTGTCGATCACCTCAAGCGAGCGCTTCGCCGGGATTGGACCAAATTATCGCAGAGCAACATTTATGGCGTTTGACTTTGTTGCCGTTTTTTTTTTTATCTCACCTTGTATATATGAATTCCTTACGTTTATTTAGACTTTTCACGTATTTTAGTAGACAAATGCTTTTGTAGAATATTTTGACTTGCTACGATTTTGTTTAAAAAATGATTTAAAAAAGAACAAAAAAGACCCCTTTGTTGACTCAAATTTCCGACCAAAATATTTATCGTATTTCTATCTGCTATATTACCGAAGACACTGTGTACCTAAAATTCACAGGTTTCGAGGAACTTGCCGCCAATATTTTGGTTACGTTTAGATATAAACTTGCAAAATACCGATACACATGTCTTCTCTTTAGCTCTATTTTCATAATCTGCTGAATTTTTCCCCGTATTTTTTTTTGTGTTACACAGTGTTGCTAAATTAATTTTAAGAATGTTTAACAAAAAATATTTCCTCTGAGAAAAACACAAAATAACAAGTGGCCTCTACACTGTGAGCATTCATAATATTAAGATATCCCACCTTATCCTATTCCATTTCTTTTATGTATAACAGAAAATACTTGTCCTATTAAATTCATTTTTATGCAATTTACACAAATAATGTAACCTTCGTATTAAATTTATGCCAGTATCAAAAAAACACAGTCCTCCCCTACGATTTTTAATTTAGGTCTTCCATATTATGCTTGGAATTTCCAATAGGTCACTATAATTTCACCAGAACTGTTTTAAAATCCATTAAATCTAATCCATGATAAATTATTATTAAAACCACATAATTTAAATTGCTTCATAGAAAACACATTAGCTTATTATTCACACCTCTACCTTGCCACATCCCAAGCAGCACACAAATGTTAGTAGATCCTTAGAAAAAAAAACCATTAATATTTTTTTTAATTTGTATTTGTTTTCGTTTTTTTCTTCCATTAACCAAGAATTAATCTTTTCAGCAAATTATTAAAATAAATACTAACAACATAAACAAATAATATTTCAGCATAAATTAAATTCCATTTATTTATGCAGCAAAAACATTTATTAATTATGTATTTCAACATTTCTCATTTCCATTTTTTCTCCTTTTTTTCTTTTCTTTCCTTGCTCTAATTTGGTCCATGGTACAGAGCACAATCGTAGGTGAAATGAGTACAGAATTGTGAGAATTAATGAATTTTAATTTGCAACAACCGGCCCCACAATTGGTACTTCCACCGCCTAAGCCGCCGCCCTTACTAAGGCCTCTTCAGCAGCAGCAGCAGCCGCCGCCGCCACAACAGCAGCAGCATTATCATCAGCAACAACAGCACCCACCAGCAACGATGCTCCACATACCCATACAGGTGGCCACCATTAGCATACCAGATGTGGAGCAACAACAACAACAACCATCCCAGCTACAGCCGAGCCAAATGCCACAGCATTTGTCGACCTATCAACATCAAATCCAGCATGAAAATCAAGAAACATTGGCCGGCGTGCCCCCTCCCACGGTGTTTTGTAAGCGCTGGCTGCAACAGCATCAACAGTAATGAAATGGAAAATTAAGAAAAAAAAAGATAGAAAATATCATAAGAAACATGTAAATATTATCAAATGAAAAAAAGAAAAAATAAAATATACAGAAAAGGAAACAGGAAAGGAAACGTAAACTATTAGTCAGCAGGACGCAATACGATGTAAACACAAACGTTTTATTTTCATTTAAATGAATATTTTTTTTCCTTCTGTAATGATGTCCTTTTCATCACTTGCTGCGTTGGATGGAGGATATGCCAATTCGGATATTTGGTTTCTAACTATTCGAAGAAAGCAAAAGGGAAATATTTACTTCGAGTGTTCTTTGGTGAGCTCAATGTTTCAGTAAAGCTTAATGTTCACTCAGAGGAGAGATTTTAACTGACCTGTGAATATTGCGAATATTAAAGGGTATAAAAAGTAAGCACAGGCTATAGTAGGGCGGGGCCAACCATTCGATATCCTACAACATTGAATGGAGATTCACTAAGAAGCATCCAGATATATATAGCAAGTGTTCATACATCTGGAACAAAAATTTTGCAAAAAATTTAATCTCTAAAAGAGCATCGGTATTTGACAAATCCGACGTTCTCATAGTCATGCAAAAGTTTTAGCTTGGATTTAGACCAAACCCACCCCTATGTCGTGTAAATGGGTATTCAAAGCAATATTTGAAAATTAGGTTCCTCTATATGATCTCTGTGCCTCCAATATTTGGCTATTTTCATCAATAAAATCATCAACAATGTAAAGTTCAGATTTGCTCCTCTCATGTATTTGTGATCTCTGTAATTTTCGTATATTTCCACACAAAACTGTGGAAAACAATTATCCGATAGCCATTCAAAATGCTTCATCGCTATCCTAAACTCTAACCTCAAAAACAATTCCACATCTGTTGGGCCTTAGGCAAGAACACTAGGGTAACTGCAAAATCTAGACAATTTTTAGGTTTTTGGTCCATTTTAAATCTTAAATATTTTGCGAACATTTTCCATATCTTATTAACTTCGAACAGTAATTGCGACCTGTACAGGGTGAGATAAAAAAAAACTGCAACAAAGTCAAACGCCATAATTTTTAAATTTTTTTAAATATTATTGAATGAAAGCAAAAAAAAAAAGGTTTGGAAATAGCATCATTTTAGAATATGTATAGATTTGTTCGAATTGGTCACCTTTTGCACGAATTATGGCCTATAAACGGCCAATTAAACCGCTACATATATGTGACGTGGTCGACACTTTGGAATTTTTATACCCTGCACCTTGGAAAGGAGGGTATATTAACTTTGTCATTCCGTTTGTAACATCCTTAAATATTCGTCGTAGACCCCATAAAGTGTAAATATTCATAATCAGCATAAAATTCTAAGTCGATTCAACGATGTCCGTCTGTCTGTCTGTCTGTTGAAATCACGATACAGCCCACATTATTTGACGTAGAGCGCCAAAATTTAGCAGAGCAATTGGTATTGTGTCTAGGATGATTGGTATTGAAAATGAGATATATCGCTCCACGTTCTGGTATAATTCCCACATAACGGTACCTCCCGATATTCGGTATTTTGATGATTTATGCCACATTTTTTCACGGATTTGTCTGAAAATTGGTATTTGTAAGTCATAGCGGGTCCCTGAACGTGTGGCAAAACATTGCATGGATTTGTTTAAAAATTGGTATTTGTGGGTCAAAATGGGTTCTAGCTCCCTTGGCGAAACATTGCATGTTTAGGTCCACGATTTGGTATAGCCCCCATATAACGATACCTCCCGATATTCGGCATTTTAATGGTTTTTGCTACATTTCTTCTAATGTTTCCTTTACCCTAAGGTGGAGGGTATTAAAAGTTTGGCCCAGCCGAACTTAATGTTTTTTTACTTGTTTAGTGTCAACTTTGCTTTCCAAAATACTCCAGACATAATAGTCCAACGGGTCGGTGGCCATTGTGCGCTGGAAATGAAATCAGGAACACCCTCCAGAATATTTTCGCGATAATATTCGGCATTTATTCTGATGCCACGGTCGATTAATACGAGCGGAGAGCGACCATCGGCTGCTATGGCGGCCCACACCATCACTATGGCCGGCGCTTGAGTTCTGGTGGCCAACCGAAAGTGCATATTTTCAGCTGACCTCTTTTGCAAGTAAACACTATAATTTTGTTTGTTTACAAACTGCTGGACAACGAGTGTTTTTTCATGGGAGAAAACCAAAATTCGGCAGTTCACCACTTTCGGCCAAGCGAAGCAACTCCTTAGCTCTTTTGAGTTTATTTTCTTTCTATTGCGGAATAAATTCTTTCACTTTTTTGAAATTTCAACGGCTTTACCCCGAGCTCATTTTTCAATATTTGCCGTATGGAATATTGCGATATGTTCAGCCATTTTTTCGGTCACTGCGACCCGGGTTTCGATGAAGTCGCTTCTTTACTTTTTGAACCATTTCTGCTGACGTAGCTGTTTTATTCCTTTCACTACCTTGATGTCGGGCTACGCTACCAGTACCACGGTAATGAGCGATGGTACGACACACAAAAGAGAATTTTGAACATTTTATTAAAGTTTGCAAGCAAAAGAAATAGAAGAAAGTCAAATAAGTTCTTAACATTTAAAATTGGGAATATATTCTTAAAATGAATAAAAGGAAATACTGTCTTTACTGACTTTTATGAATTTCGAGTTTCGAGTTTAGTTTTTTTTTACAAAATCTCGTCAAATTCCTTTATACCGCATCTGAATTTACATTATTTTCATTTTGTTCCCGAGTGCCCTCTATGTCTGAAAAGCCTGATTTTATAATTTTACAGGAACTTTTTGGGGTCATATTGCCATACATCAAAAGAAACCAGTAACCCAAGAAAATGACACCCACATACCCACTACATTGCCAGTAGAAAAAATAATGAAGTAATCCTATTCGACTTTATAAGTGTATTTATTACAGACAATTACCCGCTACTCCGTTAGTGAAAAGTCCATCTTAAAATGCACAATTTGTTCATTATTTGATGGACAAAATTTACAAACAAAATTTTATGCATCGTACTAATTATACCCTACACCACGAGGTGGTCAGGGTATTATGTCTTTGTGCATTTGTTTGTAACAGGCAAAAGGAAATGAGATAGGCCCATAGTTCCTTTTGATGATCTGCATAGAAACACATTGTGAGTCGATTTATGCATGTCCGCATTTATTGTTCTATCCAGATGAAATTTTGCAAACATCATTTGTTTGGCCCAAGGACGAACCCTATTGAAATTGGAGATAATCGGTCAAAATACAACCAAATTAGGCCTGAAAATAAGTATGCCAAATTTGATCGAAATCGGTTCAGATATAGCTATAGCTCCCATATATATTGTTCATCCGATTTGTTATTTTTGTCCTTCGCAGCCGTAATATGCACTCTGTTACAACAATATTTTGGGAAATATATCAAATACAGCCCAGAAATACATGTGCCAAATTTTATCGAGATCGGTTCAGATTTGGATATAGCTCCCATATATAACTTCGTCCGATTTACCTTATATTGTGCACCAAACGTCTAATATTTGTCCAAATGGGATGGAATTTGGCACCTAGGATCGAATTTAGTCTAGAAGGTAGTATGTCAAATTTGGTGAAGATCGGTTCAGATATAGCTATAGCTCCCATATATACTGTTCATCCGATTTGTTGTATTTGTTACCCACAGCCGTAATATGCCCTCCGTAACAACAATATTTGGGGAAATATATCAAAAACAGCTCAGAAATACCTTTGCCAAATTTTATCGAGATCGGTTCAGATTTGGATATAGCTCCCATATATATCTTTATCGGATTTCAAATTAATTTTGCACCAAATGGGCAATACAAGTCCGAATTTAAAAGATACAAATGCTTCGGCATATTTAGTCCTTTGAACTTTAAATTATAATTATAATCATAGCGTGTATGATTGAATTCTCCCATAAAAACTGTTAATTTTTATGCGGAGCTCTACTAAATTAGCAAAATGGTGTAGGGTATCATAAAGTCGGCCCCGCCCGTCTTTAAGACTTTACTGGTTTTTCAGCTGCACCAGTGCAATAACATTTTATTCATATTCAAGTTGTGCATTTTTGGAAAAGGTCTTTCGTTTTGAAGTTTCCCGAAGAGTATATTCCACTTCCAATTTTTCTGGCCAGAACTATTTCAACGTATTTACACAATAAAAAAAGCCACAGCCATATCTAAATCGTAGAAACAAATAGTGACCTCAATATCAGAGTTTAGGATTCAAGCTCTATACATTCACTCAATGGCTAATTTAATACCATTTAGTTCTTTTCGAAAAATTTTGTACACATTCCAAAATCAACCTATTTCTCTCACAACTATGTATAATGCAACATAGAACTCCATATCAAATCCCAAAATCCCAAAATTTATTACCATATCTTTCGTACAGTCATACAACGCATGTTTAAACTCACCTTTTTCACTCCACCCTAGACACCAATACTAACCCCGATACCAAATTTCAGAATTTCAGCCCTATCCCTTCACTCAATATCAAATTTATTACTATTTAGTACTTTTCGTACAAATAGTGTCTAAAATTCCTAAATCACCTTCAGATTTCAATCTCGGATACCGTCATAGTCTTCGATATAAAATTTCAGGATTTCATTACCAAATTTAGTACAATTTAATACTATTATAAAAATCAGCCCCTTCTCTCAACCATAAATACCAAAAGAGACTTCAATATC